GATGAGCACTGGGTGTTGTATGGAATCCAATTTGACAACAAATTCCATACATTGGAAAAAAAAATAAAGTAGATATATTGCCTATCTTTCTCAAGCTGTTCCAAAACATAGAACGGGAAGGAAAACTTCCAGACCTATTCTATGAAGCTAGCATTACTTTGATTCCCAAACCAGAGACCCAGCCAAAAAAGGGAACTACAGGCCAATATCCCTGATGAATATGGATACAAAAATTCTCAATAAGATACTAGCAAATTGAATTCAACAGCATATAGAAAGAATTATTCACCATGATCAATTGGGATTCATTCCTGGGATGCAGGGCTGGTTCGGCATTCACAAATCAACCAATGTGACACATCATATTAATAAAAGAAAAGAAAGTAACCATATGATCCATTCAATCAATGCAGAAAAATCATTTGACAAAATTCAGCATCCTTTCTTAATAAAACTCCTCCAAAATGTCGGGATAGAGGGAACATACTTAAACATCATAAAAGCCATTTATGACAACCCCACAGCTAATATCCTCAATTAGGAAAAACTGACAGCTTTCCCCCTGAGATCAGGAACACGACAAGGATGTCCACTCTCACCACTGTTGTTTAACATAGTGTTGGAAGTTCTAGCATCAGCAATCAGACAACAAAAGGAAATCAAAGGCATCAAAATTGGCAAAGATGAAGTTAAGCTTTCACTTTTTGCAGATGACATGATACTATACATGGAAAACCCGAGAGACTGCACCAAAAGTCTTCTAGAACTGGTACATGAATTCAGCAAAGTCTCAGTATATAAAATTAATGTACAGATATCAGTTGCATTCTTATACACTAATAATGAAGCAAAAAAAGAAATAAAGAAACTGATCCCATTCACAATTGCACCAAGAATCATAAAATACCTAGGAATAAACCTAACCAAAGATGTAAAAGATCTGTATGCTGAGAATTGTAGAAAGCTTATGAAATTGAAGAAATTCAAAGAAATGGAAAAACTTTCCATGCTCATGAATTGGAAGAATAAATACTGTTAAATGTCAATACTACACAAAGAAGTCTACACATTCAATACAATCCCAATCAAAATTGCACCAGCATTCTTCTCAAAGCTAGAACAAGCAATCCTAAAATTTGTATGGAACCACAAAAGACCGCGAATAGCCAAAGTAACTTTGAAGAAGAACAAAATGGGAGGCATCACAATCCCAGAGTATAGCATCTCCTACCAAGCTGTAATCATCAATACAGCATGGTATTGGCACAAAAACAGACACATAGGCCAATGGAATAGAATAGAAGCCCCAGAATTAGACCCACAAAAGGATAGCCAACTAATCTTTGACAAAGCAGTAAAGAATATCCAATGGAAAAAAGTCTCTTTAACAAATGGTGCTGGGAGAACTGGACAGCAACATGCAGAAGAATGGAACTAGACCACTTTCTTACACCATTCACAAAAGTAAACTCAAAATGGATGAAGGTCCTGAATGTGAGACAGGAAACCATCAAAACCCTAGAGGAGAAAGCAGGAAGAAAACTTCTCTGACCTCAGCTGCAGCAGTTTCTTACTTGACACATCTCCAAAGATAAGGGAATTAAAAGCAAAAATGAACAATTGGGACCTTGCAGATAACAAGCTTCTGCATTGCAAAGGAAACAATCAACAAAACTCAAAGGCAACGAACGGAATGGCAAAAGATATTTGCAAATGACATATCAGACAAAGGGCTAGTATCCAAAATCTATAAAGAACTCACCAAAGTCCACACCCGAAAAACAATAATCCAGTGAAGAAATGGGCAGAAAACATAAATAGACTCTTCTCTAAAGAAGACATCCAGGGGTGCCTGGGTAGCTCAGTTGGTTGGGTGTCCAACTTCTGCTCAGGTCATGATCTCATGGTTTGTGAGTTTGAGCCCTCGTGTCAGGTCTGTGCTGACAGCTCAGAACCAGGAGCCTGCTTTGGATTTGGTGTCTCCCTCTCTCTCTTCCCCTCCCCCACTCGTACTCTGTCTCTCTCTCTCCTTCAAAAATAAACATTAAAAAAAATTTAAAAAAGACATCCAATGGCCAACAGGCACATGAAAAGATGTTCAACGTCACTCCTCATCAGGGAAATAAAAATCAGAGCCACACTGAGATATCACCTCATGCCAGTCAGAATGGCTAAAATGAACAAATCAGGAGACTATAGATGCTGGAGAGGATGTGGAGAAATGGGAATCCTCTTGCACTGTTGGTGGGAATGCAAACTGGTTCAGTCACTCTGGAAAACAGTGTGGAGGTTCCACAAAAATTAAAAATAGATGTACCCTATGACCCAGCAATAGCACTGCTAGGAATTTACCCAAGGGATACAGAAGTGCTGATGCAGAGGGGCTCTTGTACCCCAATGTTTATAGCAGCTCTTTCAACAATAGCCAAATTATGGAAAGAGACTAAATGTCCATCAACTGATGAATGGATAAAGAAATTGTGGTTTATATACGCAATGGAATATTACGTGGCAATGAGAATGAAAGAAATATGGCCTTTTGTAGCAACATGGATGGAACTGGAGAGTGTGATGCTAAGTGAAATAAGTCATACAGAGAAAGACAGATACCATATGTTTTCACTCTTATGTGCATCCTGAGAAACTTAACAGAAGACCATTGGGGAAGGATGGTGGGAAAAAAAAAGTTACAGACAGGGAAGGAGGCAAACAATAAGAGACTCTTAAAAACTGAGAATAAACTGAAGGTGGGGGGGGTGGTGGGAGGGAGGGGTAAGTGGGTGATGGACATTGAAGAGGTCACCTGTTGGGATGAGCACTGGGTTTTGTATGGAAGCCAATTTGGCAATGTTTCATATTTTTTTTAAAAAAAAGTATACTTGTCATGATGAGCACTGGGTAATGTATAGAATTGTTGAATCACTATATTGTACACCTGAAACTAATATACCACTGTATGTTAAATATACTAGAATTTTCAAAAAACCTAATAAATAAATAAAATGTACAATTCACAAGAAAAAAAAAAGAAATTCAGGCTACCCAAGAAAAACTTAAATATTTCTAATAGGGCATATAGCTAAGAATCTGTTTTTTTTTTTTTCCTGTATGTTACATGTCATTTGGTCAACAGTCTTTGGATTATTAGATTTTTAACAAGGTAAATAAATTATATCTCTAATAAAAAAATGACTACAAAAGTGTAAAAAAAAGTAAAAATCTAAGGAAAACAATATAAATAAAACAAAATAAAAAATAAATCATTACTGTCATACAAAAAGTAATAAGATCAGTTTTGTTAGACAAAATAATAATAATAATAATAATAGTGACATCAAGCAGTGCTTCCTTCAATCCTGTCTAACATAGTATCAGAACCACTTTAGGTGTTTAAACTTACAACTTCCCTTGTATGAAAAATATCATGAAGCAATGACTTACTTTTCTTATCTTGAACTGGATTTTCTCTCTCAAATGTAGCCATTTCCTGCCTACAAAGGAAAGAGATAATAACATGATACACTCCAGTTATCTGAAGCTGAAAACACACTTGAAGGAAATGTTTCACTGCTCTTAACATAAAGTCATTGGTAGATTTAGAATTCAAGTGTTAATTGAAATTAAATCCTGCTTACTTTGTTTCGGAAAAACCATGAAATAGAGCTGATAACACTGTGAGAGTTGATGGTTATGTTAATTAAGTTGATGAGGGGGGTTCTTTTCACAAAGTATACATAAATCACATTTGCTTTAAGTATTTTAAAATTTTGTCAATTATAACTCAATGAAGCAGGAAAGAAAAACCCAAAGTCTAGCAAAAGAATAAGAAGCAGAGAATAAAACTCCATATTTTATGAAACTTAAAGAATTACTAGACTATCATACTAGGTATAATATCATATGTATGTGGAACATATGTGCAATATAGTGAAATTTGGAACAATTTGAGGGAGAATATTGAAAGCCAATTTATTTCTCTGTTGTTCTTGATGAGGGAGGTAAATAAGGTAAAAAAAAAAAAAAAGAAGAAAACAAAGGAAGGTAAATAAGAAGGTCCAAAAAATTCAGAACACAAATTTACAATGACCTAAATTAATAAGTGCAGACTGGTGATGAGAGAAATAGAGATTATCTCTACAGTGACACGATTCCACACCAGAACAGGGAGTGAGTGGCTAAAAGGAGATTGAGTACCAACACATGGTCTACTATTTCTCTGTCTCCCAGTCTCATAAACTTGAGGGAAAATGTAGACAAAGAATTTTGTAATGACCTGCCCGCCTCAAAGAGGGCAATATACACAGAACAGAGATGTGCCCACTGCAGAGGAAGAATTTTTGGTGAGGAGGCAGTCCGAGACAACATACCAAAAGCAAAGCGTGAATCTTAGCTTATTTCTCCTTTGTATCTTTCCTAAAGAAATACACAAAGGTAAACACACACCATGTTATCTCACCTACTTCCATTCAAAACACTAAGCACAAAGTTGCAAACATGAATTAGATAAAATAATAATAATAATAATAATAATAAAAAGAAAGCAGAGAATATATTAAAGGCAGATAGATGTAATATGTTAATTATTATTAAAATAATAAATGGATAAAAAGTAAGTGGCTAGCATAAAGCAGGAAAACAATTGAAAGAAACAATAAAATATTTAGAGAGATTAAAACAGCACTAAAAGCATCAATATGTAAAATCAATTATTTCGAAAACAAGCCAGCAGCATATGCTTGAAATAAACATTAACTTGTAGAAAATGAGAATGTAGTATGGTTAGAGAAAGGAAAATAAAACATAAAGAGATGATGTCATACATACAAAATAGTTAATCTTGGAGATGAGAACCACATAAATGAAACAAAACCATTCAAAGATACAATAAGATACCTGAAATAAAGACTTCAGCCTGAAAATTGATTTTATGGAGAACTAACACAAATCACATGGAACATTGAGATATGCAATAGATTATGCACTTCAAGAATAATGATAAATTCTAAAACATCCATGAGGAAAACATTGTGAAACTACTTCATCAGTGAGGTGAGTTTAAGGTAGCCCAAACTTCCATCTGAAGGCAAGCCCACAAAATGGTGAGGAAAATAGGATTACAAGAATCCTATGACTCTCCAATAAATGAAAATGGGTATTGTCAAATATATTAGTATTGAGGGGATATAAAACCTATGAATTCTTTAGGAAAAAAGAACAAATCAGAAGATGACTGTAAAACCACATTTCAATTTTATAAAATGCAAAGTCATGTTATAAAGAAGTTGTTGAATGATGAATCTAACCTGTGCAGCCAGCTCTGTGGTTGAAGGTCTGGCCATAATTCATCTAATTTGAGTTTTTTCCTTATAAGAAGAGGCAATTTGGACACAGATAGTCATAGAGCAAAGATGATATGAAGACACAGGGAAAAGATAGGGATATAAGCCAAAGTGAGAGGCCTGAGAAGAGACTCACTCCCTAGCACTTTGATCTTGGATTTGAGGCATCAAGAATTGTGACAAAATATATTTCTGTTGAATTTCCCAGTTTATGGAACTTCATCATGGTAGCCCAAGCAAAACGAATGCAGCCTAATATGTAGAAATTAGTTCCTCTTTGTTTCCTGCAGGGGAGTTGCCTGCTATTCCCCAACCTACCTTGACCCTTCCACCACATGGGTCTACACACATATTACAAGATAAAGACAATAAACTGCTCTCATTTCAGAACAAAGATGGACAGGATATGACATAGATAAAGACAAAACCACAAATACCTACAATTGTGATGAACTATTACTTACCAAAATAGAATCAATATGAAGGCAAGAAAAAAAAATGAACATGAACTGAAACAAAGTAGTAGTAGATTAATTTCTCTCAGACAGCAAGAAAAAATCAAGAAAAATAAGAACAGAGAATATCTGAAATACATAACTAATCAAGTTTCCTGGGGCACCTGGGTGGCTCAGTTGGTTAAGCGCTACCTTCAGCTTAGGTCAAGATCTCGTAGTCTGTGAGTTCAAGCCCCACATTGGGTTCTGTGCTGACAGCTCAGAGCCTGGAGCCTTCTTCAGGTTCTGTGCCCCTTTCTCTCTGTACCTCTCCTGCTTGCTCTCTCTCTCTCTCTCTCAAATGAATAAACTTTAAAAAAAATTAAACATCAAGTTTTCCTAATAGATAAATTTCAAAAAGTATGACCCTTAAAAAAACCCGTCATTGTAATTTTCAAAGTCTATGGGGCATAATAAACAAAATGCTAACTAATACTTATCAAATGCTGGTTCCACTCAGGCATTGTACTAACGTATGAATGTTAATTTTTAAAATGTTACCTTTACAATCTAAAGTTACAGTATTTTTAATTTTAAAATTATTTTCCATATGAAGAAACCACAATTTAAAGAATATAAGTAACTTGTTTCAATGTTGAGGCACAATAGATGGTAAAGAACTTTGATAAAATCCACAAGCAGAAATAACATTATAATGCACTAAAATCAGAACTTATTATCAAAAATAGAAAACAAATTTGGAATTAAAAACAACTCATATTCAAGAAAACATAAAAAGCAAAGTAACAAAATGTTGGAAAATAATATTTCCTTTAGCAACACATGGGATACATACAGATAAAATATTATTTAGAGAAAAATTTATATTCCTGCATGTCCAATTTTTAAATAAGAAAAAAAATAGAAAACACAAAATTTAAGTTTTGAATTCTAAGCAATTAGAAGAGCAACAGTGAAAAAATAAGGAAAGCAAAAATAAAAACCTCATAATGATAAAAGCAATGATACTGTGATATCTTGAGAAAAAACGCAAAACAGAAATCAGATCAGTGGTTGCCAGGGGTTGCTGGTGAGGGGAAAAGTGATAAAAATATTCCATATCTTAATTGAGATGACATGAATGTATGTTTTCCTAAACTTATCACACAATTTACCTAACAGTGTGAACTTTATGGTACTATAGCTTTATAAAACTATATTTTAAAAAATTAAGTGACTTGAAAGACCTCATACTATCCTTAAAAATATGTTTAAAATAATGAATTAAATGATAATATTCTAGTGAAAATAAGATAACCAAAACTGACTCAGGAAGATGCACAGAACATAACATCATTCAAAGAACATCATCCTATCAAACTAACCAAAAATGAAACTGAATTTAATTCTAGCCCACTTAAGTTTTATATTATATATATGATTACAATTGACTTGGGTAGTCAAAACAATTGAAATCTTCCTCACCAAGCTGACTGGTTAAAATTCTGAATCCTATTCATAAAATTTGCAGTCACTCTGGAAAATGGTTTGGAGGTTCCTCTAAAAGTTCAAAATAGAACTACACTGATGATCCAGCAATCACACTGCTAGGTATTTACCCAAAGGATACAAAAACACAAATTCAAATGGATATATGCACCCTGATGTTTATAGCAGCATTATCTACAATAGCCAAGATATGGAAGCCCAAATATCCATGGAATATTACTCAGGCATAAAAAAAGAATGAAATAGGGGCGCCTGGGTGGCGCAGTCGGTTAAGCGTCCGACTTCAGCCAGGTCACCATCTCGCGGTCCGTGAGTTCGAGCCCCGCGTCAGGCTCTGGGCTGATGGCTCAGAGCCTGGAGCCTGTTTCCCATTCTGTGTCTCCCTCTCTCTCTGCCCCTCCCCCGTTCATGCTCTGTCTCTCTCTGTCCCAAAAATAAATAAACGTTGAAAAAAAAATTAAAAAAAAAAAAAAAAAGAATGAAATATTTTCATCTGCAATGACATGGATGGAGCTAGAGAGTATTATGCTAAGTGAAATAAGTGGATCAGACAAATGCCACATGATCTCATTCATATGTGGAATTTAAGAAACAAAATAGATGAGTAAAGGGTAAAGAAAGAGATAAAGAAAGGCAAACCAAGAAGCAAACTATTAACTATAGACAGCAAACTGATGGCTACCAGAGGGGAGGTGGGTGGGGGGATGAATGAAATAGATGAAGGGGATTAAGTCCCCCCTTAGTGTGATAAGCACTGAGTAATCTATAGAATATTGAATCAATATATTGTATGCCTGAAACTAATATAACACTCTATGTTAACTAACTGGAATTAAAATAAAACTTTAAAAAAATCGTTTAGATGGGAACACCGTAGAACATTTCATTTTTCTTCATTTAGTTATTGTCTGTTTATAATAAAAACTTGCATGTATTTGAAAATGTCAACACTTCAATTCCTTTAAAAGGGAAAATTAGAAAAGAACAGTAGCATAGATCTCATTTCAGACATGATAAAGCAAAAGCCGAGTTTAAATGACTTTGCGTTGTACAGAATGTATTTGTGGCAGCCTGAGAAAAGGATCTTGGTTCAATAACATCACCTCTTCAGCCACACACTATAAAGGGGAGTTCATTACAATGGCGGCATAGCCACCCTACTGTCTCTACCTTTTCCTCTGTGAAAAGAAAGCGTAAATTAAATACTTAGGGAATGGCTAATTACTCCAAACATCATTTCATATCACCAACAAATATGGGCCTTCCCCTCAATCCCTCATTCTTTCCCACTTAGAGAAAAAGAAACCATCTCATAGATAAAAACCCAGATGGTGAGATGCAATGATTAGGAAAGAGGTTGAATACAAAGATATGAAAATCCCATGGTCAGCAAAGAAGGGAGGGTGTTTCTTTCTATATAAGCTGGGGCAAGTTATCAGTGTGAGAAAGCTGTTGTTTTTCCACTCTTTTTTTTTTTTTTTTTTTTTTTTTTTTTTTTTTTTTTTTTTTTTTTTTTTTTTTTACTTTGAGTATCTTGTAAAGGTTGGGCAACAGAAAGACAATGGCAAGTCAAGCAGTGGTCAGAGATTCAAAGAGCACATGGACTATAAAAAGCTAAACTAACAAATATAAGATTACCAGTTGATAGAAAGGTTTAATGCAGTACAGGAAATCCATGGGGTGTGGACGCAATGTTCTCACATCATGTACTTAAGGACATTTTTGGGAGAACAGTGTGAGAGTCAAAATTTCCAGGAAGAGATACTTTCAGGCATAAGGACAGAAAATAAAAACCATGAGTGCTAAAAGAGCAGTACTAGTGCACAGTAGGGCATTGACTTCAGGCTGAGCTTGGTGGCTTAAAGAACATTAAATGACAGCAGAATTCCTGGAAGATAATGGCTGAGGATGGGGAGTGGGGAATGAGAGTAGAGAGGCATTCAGGGGTCAATCCTTATAGGATTGTAGTCCCTGGTGAAGAGTTTGTATTTTATTCTGAATACAGTGGAGAACAATTGAAGGGTCTCGAGGAAAAAGCATGATGAGACTTATATTTCCCAAAAATTATTCTAAGTGTGAAGAATAAGTTGGAAGTGTGTCCATTGTAAATAGCCAACCTGAAATAACCATCCTTTATTTCAGTTCCGTTTGTACATGTACTTTGTATAACCATGAAGAAATGAAACACGTGCACCAATAGCCCATTATTTTTAGGGTCTCCAAATAAACTTCTGCCAAGTCTTAGAGGCAAAGACCAAAGAATTCTATCATTCTGTCCAGCTCTAAGAGGTCTCAAATAAGATGTTAACTTTTGTGAGACAGAGATTCTCAGTCTCTTTTGAGACAGAGATAAATCTCAGAGAAAAATACTCTGATATGCTGTGTTCTTACCATTTTCTTTCCACATGTTGGTTTACTTTCTTGTGCTTCTTTTGATTGTTTCTCAGGCAACTAGATGGAAACACATAGAAAAGAAGAGATTCTTATCTCCCTTCAAATGTCTTCACCCCCTTTTCTTGCTTTCCTTACCGTTAAAACAAAGTCTGCCTTTTCTTTTTGACAAACTTCTTTGTCCTTTAGAAAGGGCAGGGAGTCACAGATATAGAATGCAGTTCAGAAATTAACCACAAGAGGCCAAGCCTACAATAGGATGAAATGGCTACAGTCTGATCTGTCAGAAGGTGGTGGGAGGGGCCAAGAATAGAGAAAGATCCTAACCACAGAAAGGCTTGACTTCTCTAGGATGACCAGAGGAGACCAGCATCTCAGGTGCATCCATCCCTGTGGAATACTAGCACTATCAACCTTGGCCATGTGATCCAGAGCAAGATTCTTCAAGCCTTGCTGTTTGGCTATACATATACATACAGAACATTATGATCCTCACCCACCTTCAGAGAAGTTGGTTGTGCATATTACTCTTGATGTTTTCCCACCAACTATCATCATCCTTATAAGAATCAAGCAAGCAATCAGTGATGGAACTGAGGTGAGAGAAATCAGTGGCTTTCTTGCTTATACATAGTGAGATGTATAATAGTGAGATACAGACCCAAGCTTGTGATTCAGTGAATCAAATTTTCTTCTACACCAGTTGTCCAAATCGTATTTCTTTGAATGTTTTCTTTTCCTATATTATCACATCCCAAACATGTGTCTGTTCTCCTGCTTCTATATAGAAGATTGTATGCAAAATATCCCAGACTATGATAGCAAGATCCCCACTCTTGCTTGCCATCAATATTTACAGAAGACATTTCCTCAGTGTTCATGTTTAAAAGCTCAATATCATCATCATATATGGGCATATTTGACCAGTAAGCAAAGAATAGAATACATATGTATTTGTTAAATACAAAGTAAATCAGATTTTTGGAAGAAGAGTCCTTTGTGGAGATAAGTTCTGACATACAGATTTCTGGATAATATTCACTAACGGTTAAATTTGGATGTAATGATTACCAAATAGCATAGACTGCAAATCAGACAACATTTAATTTTAGTGTCCTATGTGCTCTCTTCTTTTTCCCTAGAGCCTGGTTTTCTCATAATTCCATTTTTCTAAAGTGGCTAATGAAGAATCTTATAAAACAATTCTCCTTGAGATTATTAATAGTTCACTGACTTATCCTTCTAAGACATGTTTGCATTTTAAAGTTAAAAAAAAAAACATAAAATCCTTAACATTAGCAGGAACCTAATTGAAATTCCATGTCATTATTACTGAACAGAAATGAACACTAAATTCTGCTGTACACTAAGTATTTCTTTAATCAAGCAAAATTTAGATAATGTCAGGCCATAAACATTTGTTGACTGAATTAAGGAATCATTAAAACTAATAATTAAAACAATAGACATTAAATTAACCTTAAAATGTATCTTGGTCAAAGTGTTGAGATCAAATGTAATTTTGCCATACTTTCTGTGTTTTTTGACAATTATTTTTTTTTTACTTCCCAAATATTTGGCATAAGTTTCAGACATTATAACTTCATAAAGGAAATCTAAATACCAAAAAATCAACAATTTTCACTTGATTTCTTTTTTTTTTAATTGTTTTAACGTTTATTTATTTTTGAGACAGAGAGAGACAGAGCATGAACAGGGGAGGGACAGAGAGAGAGGGAGACACAGAATCCGAAGCAGGATCCAGGCTCTGAGCCATCAGCCCAGAGCCCGACACAGGGCTTGAACTCAGGGACTGCGAGATCGTTACCTGAGTTGAAGTCGGACGCTTAACCGACTGAGCCACCCAGGTGCCCTTTCACCTGATTTCTTTATGAAGTCAATCGAAAATCAAAAATTAAATATCTAAAAATGTACATATGTCAGGCACTGTAATGTAATAAGTAATCCTTATTTTAAAGAAGGAAACAATAAAGAAAATTTCCTGAAATACTCTTAAAATGATATGAAAGCCATAGAAGACAATTTTCAAGATATAAATAAAGGGAAATGTGAGGCTCTGCTCTGACAGCACAGAGCCTGCTTGGGATGCTCTGTCTCCCTCTGTCTGCCCCTCCCTTGTTCATCGTCTCTCTCTCTCTCTCTCTCTCTCTCTCTCTCTCAAAAATAAACATTTTTTTAAAAGTCTTTAAGAATTTCACAAGATTATCTCATTATTTTCTATAATTACTGTATGATGTGGTTGTTATTATTACCCTCATATACTATGATCATGAAATAAATAAACAGGCAAATAAATGTGGGTTGCACAGTTGGACATATTGATTAATTGGTAATGGGAGATATTTTATTCCAGTAAGTAAAATAAGGTAATTTCTGTCTAGAGCACCCCTTTCACTGGTGATTTTTTTTATTTATCCAGAATATTTTTTTACATTACAAAACAATTTTGTCAATTATATCTTAGTAAAGTTAGGGAAAAAATATGTACCTCCTAAGGAAAGTCTACAAACTGCCTATGGAGTATCCCTCTCCGCCAACTTCAACCTTGGATTTGATCAAGAAGCTAGATAAAACATCAGTTTATAATTACAATTTATAAGAGACATATTTGAAACAACAGCATACAAATGTAACCAATAAAATCCAGATCATTTCTTCAACAGATAAATTCCAAGAGGGATAAACAAGAGTGGAAAAAACCCTAACAGTTCAAAGGAACTTTAGACAGCTATTACTTAATTGGAATATATGGGTAGTATTTGGATTTTTTTAAGTTTTTATTTTAATTTCAGTTACCTAATATACAGTATTATATTAATTTCAAATTTTCAATATACTAATTCAATGCTTCCATATATTACCTGGTGCTCATCAAAACAAGTGTACTCCTTAATACCCAACAATGATGTAATCCATCCCCACACCCGCCTCCCCTCTGGTAGCCATTAGTTTTTCTCTCTATAATTAAGAGGTCATTTCTTGATTTGTCTCTCTTTTATTTTTTTCCATTGGCTCATTTGTTTTGTTTCTTAAATTCCATATATGAGTGAAATCATATAGTATTTGTCTTTCTCTGACTTATTTTGCTTAAGATAATACTCTCTAGCTCCATCCATGTCATTGTAAATGGCAAGATTTCATTCTCTTTTGTGGCTAAATAATATTCCATTGTATATACATACCACATCTTTATCCATTCATCAATCCATGGATACTGGGGTTGCCTCTATATCTTGGCTATTGTAAACAATGCTGCTATAAACAAAGGGGTGCATGTATTCCTTTGAATTAGTGTTCCTGTATTATTTGAGTAAATTATTGGTAAACTTTGGAAAGCACATTAGCATCATTGCTTGAAGGTCCTACAATTAGATAAAAAAGGAATAGATAGTTCCCAATAAATTTCACCTTGGAAATCCCTTCTTGCTTTTCCTATAGTACTGAATACATTCCTTGGTTTCTTTGATTCCATATCCCCATATTCAAAGTAGGGGTATGAATATTGCCAGATCCTAGATTTAGTAGTGAAGATAAAATGAAACAATTCATATAAGCTAGAAAGAACATGGTAGGTGATTAATCAGTGAGAGCTGTTTTTTATCTACTTGTTTTCAGGTTCTTGTGCTATATAGTGTATATTTTGTCTCAGTGAATCACTCACAGGAATTATGTAGTTCACAAGGAACATCATTCAATGAACATTCATCCTCTGACTCCTGGAAGTACTCACTGACTGCAGATTATTTTATCTATGCAGTCACAAACTCTCTAAGAGCCAAATATCTGCATGAGTGTTTTCTTCCCCAAGTTTAGAAGTTCTTTAGAATTATTTTCCCTTTAGTTTCAAATTTAGTTGCATTATGACCAGACAACTGGTGTGGAGTTAAGTGCCCATGTTTCAAACGGTGTTATTATCAGAGTGCCTGCATGGCTCAGTCAATTAAGTGTCCAACTCTTGATTTTGGTTCAGGTCATGATCTCGTGTTTTGTGACACTGAGCCCCACACTGGGCTCTGTTCTGACAGCATGGAGCCTGCTTGGAATACTCTCTCCCTTTTTCTCTGCTCCCCACTGCTCTTTATCTCCCTCCCCCACTCTTTCTCTCAAAATAAATAAACATTAAAAAATAAAATTTAAAAATCAATGCAAAAAGGGACACGACTAAAAATGGAAAACTCCTTTTAATCTCAGTATTCTGAAGCAGATCATCGTTCTGGAATGAGAATTATACATGCTTCTTCATAACAGCCAAAAGAAAAAAAAATTATAGAAAGCCTACTTTCCATAGAACATAAGCACAAGTTTCAGGGATTTTTCAGGTTTTAAAGGCACTGTCATTGTAATCAGAGGATCCATAATCTAAAAGACTTGTATATGTATAATCATGACACTAGGTAGAATGTGGTTAGCGTCATAAATGCACATAAACCATTTACAAGTCACAAAAAAGTGAAAGGATAATTTCTGGCAGAGATAAGAAAGATGTAGAATTTGGCCAGGGCATTGCAGAATGAATATTTTGATAAGGAAAGATGGTTGAAAATGTACTTTTGACTAAGAGTTCTGATAGCCAGTGCACACAAGCTTAAAATTAAAAGAGTAACCAGTGGTCAGATTGATAAGGATATAAGGTCCATAAAACATATTTATGGTAGAAAGGGCAAAAAAGTATATTTAACAAAATTAATTATACTTTCTTTAAATCCTTGCTTTGTGCTAAGTTCTAGAGAGACACAGAGACAAGGCAACAATTACCCTTGAGAGATTCCCTAGTAAATAGAAAAAAGTTGATTAGAGTTTGGTTGCTAAGTCAAGTGATGGAGGCAATGCCCAAAGTGATAAGAGAACAAGAAGGAGGGACTTAGTAAAACAGAATATATAAGACCTCAAATTGCAAAACAAGTGGTATATAATTTACATGTTAGGTAGTGGGAAATGGATGTGCCCAACTGAAACACAGGAGTAAGGTGATTAGAGTTTTGCCATGGGCAGATTAACGCAGTTGTGTCAAAGAACACAACCAAGTGGCCAAAAGTTACATTAAATAGTGCTCAACATTACTAATCACTAGGGAAACACATATCAAAACCACTTTCCCAAAACCAATATTTCTCCCTCAAAATAAATAAACTTAAAAAAAAAGTGGGCAGAGGATCTAAATAGACTTTGTTCCAAATAAGACATACAGATGGCCAATAGGTCCATGAAAATATGTTCCATGTCACTAATTAGTGGGGGAATGCAAATCAAAACCACAATGAGATATCACCTCACACCTGTTAGAATAGCTACCATCAAGAAGAAAAAATCAAGTGTTGGCAAGGATGTAGAGAAAATGGAACCCTTTTACACTGTTGGTAGAAATGTAAGTTGACCTAACCACTATGGAAAGCAATTTTTGAATTAAAAATTGAACTACCATATAATTCAACAATCCCGCTTCTGTATCATACAGCCAAAGGAAATGAAAACAGGGTATCAAAGAGATATCTGCACTGCAATGTTTATTGCAAAATGACTTACACTACTCAGGATGTGGAAACAATCTAAGTGACTATCAATAGACAAGTATATAGAGAAGATGTGACAGATGATGGATGGATGGATAGATAGATAGATAGATAGATAGATAGATAGATAGATAGATAATATATGTTATGTATTATATAATATAAGGCATGACCTTGAGGGCATTATGCTAAGTGAAATAAGCCAGACAGAGAAAGACAAATATCCCGTATCTGTGCAATTTTAAAAAGCTAAATTAGTAGAAACCAAGAGTAGAATGGTGGTTACCAGGGCCGGGGGTGGGGAATTAGGGAGATATTATTTAAGGGCCCAAACTTGCAATGAATACATAAATATGTCTGGAGATGTAACTCACAGTATAGTGATTATAATCAATAAGATTATATTGTAAATTTCAAACTTGCTAAGGGACTAGATCTTAATTGTTCCAATCACAAAAAAAAAGAAATGATAATTTATGTGTTGTGATAGAGGTGTTTGTTAACACTATGGCAGTAACACAGTACAACATATATATGTATCAAAGTAGCAAGTGGTGCGCTTTAAATGTGTACAATGTTACATGTAAATTATGTCTTAATTTTATTTTTACTTTAAAAAATTTTTTTTAATGTTTATTTATTTCTGAGACAGAGAGAGACAAATCATGAGTGGGGGAGGGGCAGAGAGAGAGAGGGAGACAGAGAATCGGAAGCAGGCTCCAGGCTCTGAGCTGTCAGCACAGAGCCCGACGCGGGGCTTGAACTCACAAACCGTGAGATCATGACCTGAGCTGAAGTCGGTCGCTCAACCGACTGAGCCACCCAGGCGCCCCTATATCTTAATTTTAAAGATCTACTCGTGCTATATAACACAAGATAATAAGATTGTGTGGAAGGAGTTAAGGTAAGTGGATGGGAGAGTGAGGTGCTGAAAAACAATCCTCTAAGATTAAGCAGAGTGATGCCTATTATCCATATGTATTCTACAACTTCAAAAGCACTCAAAGAAGATAAGGAAGGATAAAGTCACCACAAAAAGGCACTACTTAGATCAAAAGGATTGGTGTACATTATTTTGTATCCATGACTTTCAAGAACTTGACTGTTTATTCTCATACAGAGAGACCCCATAAAGTTGAAGAGTGGGAAGATAAATCCCATACCCAGATGAGAATAGAAAGGTGCAGAAAGATTCAAGTGACTACAGACCAAGGTTCCTGAATAAAATGCAAAATGCACAGTTAAATTTGAATTTCAGATAAAGAACAAATAATTTGTTTAGTATAAGTATGACCAAGCAATAATGCTCCAAATATTACATAAGGCATATATACACTAAAAAAATAGTTTATCTGAATTCAAACTTGAATTGGCATCCTGTGTTTTTATTTTCTAAATATGGTAACCTTACAACCTTTCCAAAGTAAAGCAAAAGGAGTGAGTAAACTGAGGCAGTGAGAGGTCACTGTGAGTTCTTAAAGAATGCTGTCTTCAGGTACACACCTCTTAAAGCAAACTGTCTCATCATTCAAAATGCATACACCCAGTCTCCTTTTCCCTCTTCTTCCAAGAAACAGCCTTGCCCAGAGCCAGACTTACTTGAGTTCTCTCAGTAGAGAATTCCCCATTTTCTCACTGTGACCCTGTTTTTCAGCTCCTGAGTTTCACTCCACTTTCGGCAACAACGGGCACAGTTATGAGCAGGACGTTGCATCTGACCACTGGCTTGTGTGGTCACAGCCATGAGCTGCTAAGGGCTGGGCATGGTAGAGAAGGCAGGAACTGCTCTGAAGGGGAGGGGGAAAGGAAGACATGCGTGTGTGCTTGTGTATAAAGAAAAATCAAGCTGAAACATCAGAGATTAAATCTAACGTTCTGTGTTCACTTTGCTTCCAAGGAAATTCCAGATTGGAGAGTCAGAAAGGGTAGGGGCTTTCCTATTCTTCAGAAATCTGAGATCTCCAAAATACCAATATTTTGTCCTCTTCCAAACACACAAAAAGAAAGCTTCTTGTAGGGAATGGGTAAAAAAAAAAAGTGTAATTTGCTTGTTCCTGGGGTTGTAAAAATTAAATCAAACATAAATGTTCTTCCTAAGAGGTCTAATACTTCAAAAAAATAAGATGGAAAAAAGAGAGAGAAAGTATGAAAATAGAAGAGTACTGATGTTATTCAAGCTAGGTAAAGAAGCAAATGTGCTTCTTCCTGTTGTTCCAAGGCTAGTGTTGCAATGGGGAAAGAGAAGAGCCTGACAGACCCATCTCTACCATCTGGTCTCCCACTTCCTCCCCTACACCACCCAGCAGAGCCACAGAGTACAAGCTGGCTTCAGTGATAATTTCCAGACAGGCGATTAGCTGACTGCTGACCCTGAGTTGTTGCTGTTGGGGGAATGAAGTAGCTTATTCACAATGTCTCTCACCCAACAGAGTGTAGAACAGATAAAAACTTCAGTTTTTATCCAACAAGGAATTGATTTGCTAACTTCAGAATTATATGCTCATCTATCCCAAAGTGTTTTTTTTAAACTGTATGATGACACCAAGACTGAGGAAGTTTGTTAGTGCTCTCCATCAGCAGAGCTCAAGGGTTTCAAATGCTTTGCAATCATTTCTAAATATTGTATTGCTCTTTTTTGTTTCAATCAGAGCATGGGAAAACTGTATTTGAAGCAGGACTGTCACACACCGCATGCTGGGGTTATGCTTTACCAAATTCATATTTGAGAACTTATGCACCAAACCCTGTTTCCCAGACTTTCACATCTTACCAATCATCAGAGGACTCTGTTAAATGCAAATTCTGATTCTGTCAAACTCAGCTCAACATTCTGCCATTCTAACAAGCTGCTGGTCATGCCACTCCAGCAGTTCCTTTGAGTAGCTAGACACTAGGCCACCAATCCTCCGAGTGTTGTTATTGAATATAGTTACACTCTGGTGAATTTGGCTGTATATACACAGTCATGATAATACCATCATCACAATCAAAGTTATAAGGGTATATATCACCTCCAAAAGTAGTTTCCTTATGTCCTTTTGGGCTGTGTGTGTGTGTGTTAAAAATACTTAATATGAGTTATATTCTTCTAACAAATTTTTAAGTTTTTAAGTGTGCTTTTGTCCCTTTACTTTACCTTGATAAGGTGGTATATAAGCTCTCATATTTTATTGCTCCATTAGAAATTCACTTCCTTGCTGTGAAACTCCATGAATGTAAAACTAAAAATTAATAAATTTGTAAGCTTTGTCTCGGTTAATCTGCCTGTTGTTAGTTTAATTCACAAGACCCCAGGAAACATGTTTTTACTGAAGCTTTTACTAAGTTTTATCTAAAGTTTTCTTCCCTTATAATTTCTTGGCCGATGATCTCTATCATGATCATGATTGCTTTGTGCTTAAGAATTATATAATTGGCCTAATTGGTCCTCATCAGGAATTTGTTGGGAATGTACCTACCTTGGTGGTCACAAAATATTTGCAAATGTAGAAGAAAAATTTCCTATTATGATGCCACTTGCCTGAATATGTCACAATGAAGTGTTGTGTTTCCTCCAGTGCTGTTGCCCAAAAATGACCAGAAATTTGAAGGCTACAAAAGTCAAAGTGTTGGAGGATTTGAGGAGGTCCTATCCGCCATCGTTTTTAGGATCAGAACCTAGTTGAAAACATTTGCCTGAATGATGAATGTTGCAGTTTGGTTTGACAAACTGCACAGATTTGTGGCCTTACTGCATGTGTCCAGAATGCAAGTATTTAACCTTTCATTAGCACACCTGTTATGAACATTCTTCCTGTAACTTCCTGGGAACATTCCTCTCAGCAGATTTCATGGTGCGCTTTTCCCCAGGCATATTGTCTCTTGTCTGGACTACCTCAGCTGCCTTTAGTGCTCTGATACTCTGTTGTTTTCTTTGACACTAGGAATTAACAAATTTTAAGGTTTCTAGTGCTTATGTTCTAACAATATTAGAGGTAAAGCTGTAGAAATTGATGTTATTATGCACTTATCACTGATAGAAAAGCAGGTGGTTTTAGATTTGTTGTAAGTATAAAGTTAAAATTATATATAATTTAGTAATCTTAATTTTGTCACTGTAGAATAACATAAAAATCTCTATTATTCAAAATGTTCTTAGAACAAGCTCTTTTGTCATTCTGCTATGTCCTCAATAATTAATAGGAGAAGAAGAATGAGAAGAAGAGGAGGAGGAGGAGGAGAAGGAGGAAGTCAATAAAAATATTTTCACATATTCCTCAAAATAAAATTTGAACATTCTGTTTTCTTTTCCCGTAGAAAGACACATCATACTGAGGACAATTAATCAGGTTTTATGGTTAAATTACATATGCATGGGCATTTCCTACTCCGATTTTCTTTCTTTTTTAAATTATGTCCATTTCTTTCTTTTTTTAAAGTATGAGCCTGGGTGGCTCAGTTGGTGAAGTGTCCGACTTCGGCTCAGGTCATGATCTCGTGGTTTGTGAGTTCCAGCCCTGCGTAGGGCTCTGTGATGACAGCTCAGAGCCTGGAGCCTCCTTTGGATTCGGTGTTATTCCTCTCTCTTCCCCTCCCATGCTTATGCTGTGTCTCTCTCTGTCTTTCAATATTAAATATACGTTTAAAAAAAATTAAGTATGCCAACACCTTTAATTTTTTACTAAGATATACTTGACATAATATTGTAGAAGTATAAGATGTATAAGATAATGTGTTGATTTGATACATTCATACAGCACAAAATGATTACCACCTGCATTGTCAATTACCTACCAGCTCTATCCTATCACTATGATTTTTTTTCACTTCAAAACCATTTTTAATTGATACAGTTGACATGAAAAGTTAACTTACATTCAGGTGTACAACATAGTGATTCAACAACTTTGTACATTACACTATACTCACCACAACTGTAGCTACCATCTGCCCCATTACAAACTATTATAGTATAATTTACTACATTCCTTATGCTGTCCCTTTTATACCCATGACTTCTTCATTCCATAACTGGAAGCCTGTACCTTCCACTCCCCTTAGCCCATTTTACCCAACACCCCCCACTCTATTCCCCCTGGGAACAATCAGTTTTTTCTTTGTACTTGTAGGTCTGATTCTAATTTTATATTTTGTTCATTGGGTTTTTTTAAGATGCCACATATGAGTGAAATCATATGGTATTTGTCTTTATCAGTTTGATTTTTTTCACTTAGCAGAATACCCACTAGGTCTATCCATGTTGTCTTAAATGGCACAATCTCTTCCTCTGTACGACTAATATTCCACTTAAACTAGACACAAAAATCAATGTGAAAGAATAGAGGGCCCAGAAATAAACCTAAAATTATATGGTCAATTAGTTTATGACAAAGGAGGAAAGAATATACGATGAATAAAAGATGGTCAATTAATTTATGACAAAGGAGGAAAGAATATACGATGAATAAAAGACAGTCTTTTCAACAAATGGTGGTAGGAAAACAACAGCTACATGCAAAAAGAATACAACTGGATCACTTTTTGACAGCATACACAAAAACAAACTTAGAATGGATTAAAGATCTAAATGTGATACCTGAAACTATAAAAATCCTAGGAGAAGGCACAGGCAGTAATTTCTTTGAAATAGGCAAATGCAACATTTTTCTAGATATGTCTTCTGAGGCAAGGGAAACAAAAGCAAAATTAAACCATTGGGACTACATTAAAATAAAAAGCTTTTGCACAGTGAAGAAAATCATTAAATAAAATGAAAAGGCATCCTATTGGATGGGAGAAGCTATTTGCAAATCATACACTTGATAAGGGGCTAAATCCAAAACATATAAAGAACTTACATAATTTAATGTCAAAAAACAAAAAACCCAACTTTTAAAAATGAGCAGACTTGAATAGACATTCTTCTAAGCAGATATACCAATGGTCAACAGGCTCATGAGACTACACTCAACATCACTAGTGTCAGGAAAACCAAATCAAAACCACAATGAGATATCACCTCACATCTGTCAGTTTGACTATTATTATAAGACAAAAATAAAAAGAATTGGTGAGGATGTGGAGAAAAGGGAACATTCATACACTGTTGGTAAAAATATAAATTGGTGTAGTATAGAGGTTTCTCAAAAAATTAAAAACAGAACTACCATATGATCCAACAATTCCAGTTCTAGGTTTTCACCCAAAGAAAGTGAAAACACCTATTTGAACTCATATGTTCATTGCATTATTATTTATAATATCCAATATATGGAAGCAACTAAGTGCCCATTGACAGATGAATGGGTAAAGATGTGATACACACACACACACACACACACACACACACACACACACACATATATATATATATATATATATATATATATAACTTGGATGGACCTTGAGGGTATTATGCTAAATGGAATAAGTCAGAAAAAGACAAATATGATTTAAGTTATATGTGTAATCTGAAAAAGAAATAAGCAAACAAAACAGAAATAGACTCCTAGAAACAGGGAAAAATATCTGTTGGTTATCAGAGATGGGAGGTGTTGCGAATGGGTAAAATGGGTGAAGGGGTTAAGAAGTATAAATTTTCAGCTATAAAACTAATAAATCTTAAGGATGTAAAGTACATCATAGGGAATAAAGTCAATAATAATTTAATAACTTTGTATGGTGACAGATGGTACCTGGACTCATGGGGATTGTTTCATAACATAAAAAGATCTAATAACTATGACGTATAGCTAAAATTGATTGGATATTGTATGTCAATTATATTTCAATTAAAAAAAGAAAAAGA